CGTCACTCTCCTGATGGCTGATACACCCGGACAACACTGTGAGAATCCTCATGCGGTGCTTTGGCCCTTCCCCATGAAGCATCACTTTGTCACAGCGCATGAGTCGTTTGAACAGTAGGCTTTGGAGTTTTGTATTAGAGGACGAGGAGAGTGGTTTCGTGACCTCTGCCAGCTTCATGGTCTTGATTTTGTGCCTCAGGGGTCGTCCTATTACACCCGCTGGCACTAACACTGGACCGCTCTGATGTAGCACCATCAGAGTATAAAGAGGCGAAGGGGAAAGATATATAAAGATTTATCAAACAGGTGTCCTATTCACCTTATATAAAATATACATTTCTAAATATACTCTAGATCTAAAAGATATATATTCATGCTCTGATACTGATTCCACTCATACACTTTCCTTCCATACCAACATTGCAAAGTGTCACATAAAAGTAGCAGAACACGATCCTGCACACTATCAACCCACCTGCATAGTATCCTCTTCTTGCACCTGCACCTTCCCCCCCACAAGACGAGAAATTTCTTTACTCTCCTCATCGCTCTCTTGGTCCATGTTACTGCTGGTCTTTGCCTAGATAAAGGGCCCAAGAAATGTGAGAGTAGGAAAGGTGAAACAAATATAAAGAAAGAATAAATGCCTTGTGAAAAAACACATGTAGAAAGATATGGTATCACTTCATGCCAGTGAGGGCATTCAGACACTCTAGATGATAGGTACTATACATATAATGATACTACATATGAAGTAAATAACTCCCATAAAAGTGACACAATTTTGAAATAAGACCATGAAGTCTTCACCACAAAAGCTATATTACCTCCTCTTCTTTGGCTTGCTCCACCCCAGGCCCTACACCTGCTGCTGTCAGCTGTGATGCAATAAGCCTTCCTACATGCTGGATTTGAGGTGATGTGCCAGCAGCTGTGATTGGGCTGTATCCAGCACTGAACAAGGGTGGCATCTCATCAGGTAGATTCAACTATATGGGATGAAAAGAATTAGGATACATTTAATAAATACATATAAAAAATATATTAGGAAAAATACCCTACTATGACAAGAAAAAATAAGCAAGGACCAGCAAAGGACTCACCATCGTAACCATAACCAGGCTAGCAACATTGTCTGGGGTCAGCTTCTCCACCAACCACCTCTGGGTGATGTCAATGGCAGAGTTCTTTCTCTCCACCTCCACCTCCTCCTTCTTTTCCTTCTTGTTCTTGCTGCTCTCCTCATGGTCGACCCTGGGCTTCTTGTTCGGCGATTCGGAAACTTCCTCTGCCGACTTGTCTCGCCGCACCCGCTTCCTGATCTGATCCTTGGATGGCATTGACTTGTTGACCTATAACAACAAAAAAATCCTTAAGATAATTAAACAAAACAAAAACTTCTATAGAGCTCATCCAATATATTCAATTAAGAGAAAAAACCTTTCCAACAATCACTTTTTTACATACATTTTTCCTCACCTCTGACGCTGTGATTCCCAAGTCATTCAGGACTGTTGTAATGTGTTCATGGTAATCATAAGAGGCAGGATGCTTCAGGAGGTTCAGCATCTGTATCTTGAGGTGTTTCCGCACACTGTTTACTTGTGATTTGGTGAGTGTAGGAGGTAGATTGGCTGAGGAAAGAAGGTATTGTTAGAAGTATCTGTATGGTTCTAACATTATTTAACAAAACTGGGAATCTTTACCCACAACAATATTCATTTATATGTAAACTTTAAGACCATAAAAAAAGCATAAGAAATCAGAGGGAGAGAGGCTTACCATGAAGGATCTCAAGTGCATTAATAATCATGCCCAGGAACTGTGGCCGTGCCCTTGCGATGATAGTCAGCGACGACATACACGTCATAAGGTTGACAGAGCTGATGTGGATGGACCCTTGGAAAGCTATCAGTTTGTTGAGAACCATCCTGGATGACAACGGAAGACAGTCAATTAATTTCCATCATAATGCCTCAGATTTCTATCAGTGAGATCCTTAACACTTATTTTTTTTCCAACACAAATATAATAAAACATATAATAAATATTCATATTACCATCCATCATAAATTTAACCTTTCCTTCATATTGATTTACTGTATTTCTCAGTAGTCTTTACCACAGATAATAAAGACCAAATAATCAAACAAATACCATACCTTGCCTCCTCTTCAAGTTTTCTTGGCCTAGCTACTTTGAGTGTAAGAGGAACTTGGTCGAGGTTGAACTCCCCATCACGAACAACTGAATCAGCCTCTGTGTACGTCTGCAGCAATACTAAGGATTCTAGGAACTTAATGGCCTGTGTCCTTACTCTGCGGAAAAATAAAAGCAGAATATAAAGACACTCGTTTTCCTACTACTTAATAAATAGACAAAATTTATTATGTATAACCTAAACAAACATATATTTGTAAACAGAAATATACAAATATACAACTCACTTACCCATCATTATCATGGTCAATCATTGTAATAATGGAATTCTTAATGGAAGTTATAATGTGCCAGACTTGCTCCATCTCAGGGGTAACAGTGCGAGCAGAGGACAGCCATGCCAGTGTAGCACGGTGAAGCTGAGCTGCAGCCTGCACAACACGTTTCACTACAGCCACTCCTTCATCTTGCAAAAGCAACTGAATATTTGGCACCAGACGTGGCAGCATAGCAACATCTTTCTTGCTGTAAATAAAGATAAAAGTTCATAATTCATTGGTATAGTAGCTCCACCTATTGACTTCAAACAACCACCACAACTATAGAGGGTCCTCAAGCATTATATACTCACCAAGCTTCCTCAATGAACCCGACAACAAATTTACGGACATCTGAGTTCCGGTCAGTCTGGAAAGCTGCCACCTCCTCAAAGAATGAGTCAAGGAGATCAGGTTCACGGTGGATGATCAGCTCCTGCACCTGAACAAGCTGTCCAATTCTCTCTTTCTCCGAGGGCAGGAAAGCTGCCGTATTCAGCAGTTCCACCACCTGTGAAAAGAGTCAGGTGTTATGGAATATATTCAAACTAGCCTACTTCAATAAATCTTTCTCACAAATACTTATGAGAAAACACACATTCCCTTAAAACAAAACAATGGATAATTCTAGCAGAATTGTCCAAATAAAACAATAATGACTTTGTTAATTCTTAATTCAATTAACAAAACTTTAACACTGACACTGAATCCATATAATCATTATATAATTTTTCTGTCAATTTTTCAGCTGATAATTACTGTGAAGAGATCTGCATCAGTGATACTGACAATACTGATATCACTGGATCATTTGGTGTATATTGTGCTTTTATAGTAATTTTAAACCACAGAAAACTATAGCAATGATAATGACCCTAACAGCTTCAGAGGGCAAAATATATACTAAAGAAATTACAAAATTACAAGGTAAAGAAAGAAAACAAGAAACTAATCACCCTAATGTCCTGTAAGAGTCAGAAATTAAATTGTCATAAGAAAGCGCAACAATCACCAACCCCAAGCAAGGTGGAATTTCTATATTTTATGATAAATCACCAATGAGGTCTATAAGATTTACCTTACTAGAACTTATATACTAAGGGTTTGTTGGATTTTGCTGGAATGCCACAAACTGCTGCATTCTTATCACTGCTAATGTCAATGCTATAATCACCTAATAAAATTTAGTAACCTCATCTAAAATACTTGGGACAAGAAGAAGCAGAGACAGATAAAATACCTTTAATGGCATAAATAATGATATTTAATGACACTTGTAATGTACCTAGAAAATACTGCTGCCTTTCTAGAATATGAAAAAAACTGACTCTTACATAACACAATACACGGTAGCATTGTTTACATAATACATGCTGAATACTTCAATTCCACCTTGCATATTTGGCCGCGTTATCTGGCAATCTATTGTAAAAAACAGGGAATCACTCCGAGCTCAAATTATAAGAATATCTATGATAACTGGGACTGTATTATCTCTTTATTCTGTCTTATATTGAATGATTACCCATCTTTATCTCTTTTGCTTTCACTTTCAATGTAAGTCAAGCATGAAAGCAAGCAAATAATTCTGTATGTTATAAAGGAAACTTATCATTATATTAGTTCAACCATTTTTTTATTTATGATAATCTTAATATCAAACAACGAACATTCTCCTAATTGTATGAATCAAGTACAGGGATAAATATCATCAAAACAGATGGATATTCATGTCTTCTCTTCACTGTCACGATGAAAATACCGGCATCCTTTATTTTGGCTTTAGTGTCATCTGAATTCCCCCACAGTACTCAGCACTTGCCCTGTCTCGCGTAGTCGGCTCGCTCTCACTCATGATGACTTTGAAGTGATGATTTCTCTCATTCCAAAAAAATCCTGCCGAGTTGTGTGTTTACTCTCTTTTGCCGAAGTCCTTCTGCGCCAACTTGTTTGGTTGATATTTCCGGCTTTCGTATTGGAGTTGGGTGGCGATTTGTTATAGGTTCTATCAAGATCCTGCAATATTGTGATTATTATGTGTTTTCTTTACTTCAATCTTGATTCTGATTTGTCTGTTCTTATTTTATGTTATACTTGTTGTTGTTTGTGTATAACATTTCCCAAGTTTGTGATCTGGATTAAGATGATGAACCGTGTTGAAACTTCAAGAGATAGCCCTATTTTCAGGAAATATATACAACATAAAATATATTACGTGTCTATTTTCAAATTTAAATAAGAGTAAAGTAAACACCATTCATAAAATATACACACTATTCTATGCAAAAAAATAAAATTCAATGAAAATGTAGAAATATGCAAATCTCATGTCAAACCATACTTAACTATCAAATACATGCTAAAACCTTATTATAGCGCGACGATGATAATAAACTATAGATATAATGAACTTTATATCATAAAAATATATACATTATGAAGTTTAGCAACACCCCCATAATACTAAAATATTAAAAAAACATATTCCTGATTACCGCAAGGGCCCTCGATCACGGAGTCCATTTGTTGATCTTCCGTCATACCTTTGTGAGTCAAGACAGTCATATCCTTCTTGATTCTCCTAATCTTTCCTGCTCTTGTGTCAGACTCACGTGAGGTAGACAGGCGTTGGGTGTTTTCTCCCTCTTTCCACCCAGGTATGCTTGGGTCTCTTTATTAGGTTGAGTGTGTGTGTTGTTGCTTTTAAGATGATATAAAGTTGTATTTACACAAGAGCGAGAAAGTTGTTTTTGTCTTTCGTCATGTTCTGTGTGAGCCTTTTTAGTTCTTATTGCTACCTTGGGCTTTTATAATATATTGTCCAAGTATTGATAATAAGTATCTAGTATATGTATGTTGTATATGTTTAGTTAATCACATGTTTTTTCTTTATTACATTATACGCTTGTGTTTATCAGACTAGAATTATCAGTACTTAGCATATTATTTTATCCAGGTAAATGACCATAGCTAATATATTGGTGGTAATTAGTGTGTTATGACATTTAAGCTCAAGCTATCAAGCCTGAATGTGCGAGGATGGAGTTTAGCCTGCCTCTGTTAGAGCTCTGTAGGTGCAGTGATCCGTCTGGAATCAAGGCCCTTTCCACCAAAGATCTTTGGCAGACAACTCTTTCAAAATTTTGTCCGTAGGCCCGTGTATATTTCCTATCATTAACGTCACTGGCATATTTTAGCATAAAGGTATTCAAACTGGCTTGGCATATATCAGATTTGGTCTTGGGGTACATCTGTGGTGGACAGGAATCACTGATTCCAATATGGGCGGAGACTGCAGTGGTCAATTGACTGTGTACGGCTGACTTGGCTGCACTTGTCATTTCATGCTCACCTGATTCTTGTGGATCCATAATATAATTTGCAAATCATGCTTCAGCAAAAATCAATATACATCCCCTATATGTATTCTAGCAAGATAGAACTCGGACTGTTATGGTGGACCAGAATAATTCACAGCCATCTGAAAAACCTCCAGCTGGGATTTTTTATGGTAACAGCAATGCTTTCAAGAATGAAAAACCTGAAATAATGTCATATTAAACTTCTCACTTAAAATATTTTGAATGAAATAAGCTATATAAGCAAAATCGTGAAAGAAATAGATATTCTATACTTTAATTTGTTAACTAAAAGATGTCAGATCATTGATGAAGAAGATACTTGGATTTTTTATATAATGTATTTACAAATTTACATTAAGTATGTGTAAATTTACCACTTGCTTGCTAACTCAGAGATGAATAATATTCTGGCTTTGCATTTTGAATGGAATTGAAAAATGATAATTTGGAATATAAATGATGTAGTTGAACAAATGTAAGAATTTGATCCTAAAAAGAAAAATAACAGCTGCACTTTACAACTCATGCCAGTTATATATTCATTTGATTCTCACCTCTGATTGTTTGCGATGATTGCCTCCTTTATGAAGAGAGTGTAGGTTATACACTGTGGGGGTGCCCTTCATGTACTAATCAAGGGGAGGGTTGATTCCCCCCAGTAAATGTTGTTTTCACCTCCGCATGGTCAGCAAAATAGTGCTGAAACACCACTCCCAGAACCGAGTGGACTTGGCTGGGAGGGTTTTTCATGATATTTTTCTTTTATTTGTGGCATTTCCATTCATGTCTGCAGATTATTTCTTGTACTGATGACTGCAACTTTTGTCCTGTATAAGAATATCAACTTCAGTTTGCCCTAGCATACTGTGTAATTGATTTTAGATATGCACCAGTATGAGATTCCATGATACATATTTATCAAATATCAGGTTGGTAACTTGAAATGTTGAAAATTGAAAGATGCTTAAAAGTTTGGTTGTGCAAATTACAAAGGTCAGGTACAATAGGTTTATGTGAAAAAATTCTCACCTTGCCTTACAATTTTTCCCAATATTTCATTCTCTCATTTTTATATTATTATGTGTAACATTATTATTTTTAGTTTTACATTAGTCATCAGAATAGAAGGATACAAACAGATTATAGCTAGGGTGGAGAACTATTCCTAAAACTAGTGTATGATGTGATTAGGAAGTAGGATTGCGAAAGGTTGCAATATTATGCCTCAGATTTTTTGTTGGACTGTAGATGATGTTGAATTATATTCATTAATAAGAGTGATTTATTATGGTGATAAGAGATTTGAGTGCATGAGTGAGAGTGTGTGTGGGGGAGGGGTGCATGTTTATGTGATTCTTCTTCTTCTTCTTCTTCTTCTTCTTCTTCTTCTTCTTCTTCTTCTTCTTCTTCTTCTTCTTCTCTTCTTCTTCTTCTTCTTCTTCTTCTTCTTCTTCTCTTCTTCTTCTTCTTCTTCTTCTTCTTCTTCTTCTTCTTTCTTCTTCTTCTTTTGCACTTGGCTTCATATTCAATGGCAATTTTTAAAGAGAACGAAAATTTACAAATTTCTTACATATGAAGAATATATTTCCATTTTTGTTTGCTTTTCTTTTATTATGTTGCATAGTTGTACCATAATCACCAAAAATCATATAAGGCTTATAGCACCAGTGAATGATTATATAATTTTCTCTCCCTCTCTCTCCCATTCCAGACTAAACAACCATGAATCGCCTCTTTGGTCGCGGAAAGGGAAAGGAACCTCCTCCAAATCTCACTGACTGCATCGGCAATGTTGATAGCAGAGCAGACTCCATTGAAAAGAAGATTGCGAGGCTAGACGCAGAACTTATCAAATATAAGGATCAGATGAAGAAGGTCAGGAGGCAATTTGTATTCCAGGAAAAATTGTCATTAATCTGGATTTTGCTTGTCCTTTTCATATCCAAACCTAAATTGCTGTCCTGAAACTCAAATGAATATACTGTAGAAAGTAACAAATAACTAAGCCTATAACTTATTTCACAATTGTTCATTGCACAATATACTTACCCCTCCCTGCTATGCTAAGAAAAATTATAGTTTGTATGAGTACTTCCTTTCATGTTTCACATCTTCATTCATGAAATATAACTGATCTTTACACAGCAGTAGAAAATACAGTAGTGACAGCTTCTATCTCAACATTACGGAATTGGTGATTACAATATAACAAATTCCAATATTTACCCAGATGCGTGAAGGACCTGCCAAGAATGCAGTCAAGCAAAAAGCCTTGCGTGTCCTTAAACAGAAGAAGATGTATGAACAGCAGTCCACGAACCTGAGGAACCAGTCTTTCAACATGGAGCAGGCCAATTATGCTACACAGACCCTTAAAGATACGAAAACCACTGTCCAAGCCATGAAGCTCGGCGTGAAGCAGATGAAAAAGGAATATAAGAACATTAACATTGATGAGATTGAAGACCTCCAGGTAAGTTGCTCTTTTGTACTTAAGATGCAGTGATAGTTGGAGGTTGGTTCAAATATCAGAGGTGAAGAATTTTGCCTTGGTTCTAAGGCAAATCTAAATCTAAGATCATTATGATGTTATGATTGAAAATAGAAATAGAAATTGTATTTGTTGCAAACAAATGATTAGTGTTTAGATGAAACACACTGTATATACCTACTGGTAATGGTATTGACAGTCAGTACTCACTACATCAACTTGTAATCAATATTTTGGGAAATCAAGATTGTATATATGTATTTTCTTTCTCTCAAATTTCATGAATTCACACTTTTCCTCCAGGATGACATGGCAGACATGTTGGAACAAGCTGACGAAGTACAGGAGGCCCTGGGAAGAAGCTACGGCTGCCCAGAAATTGATGAGGATGAATTAGCAGCAGAGTTGGATGCTTTGGGTGACGAAGTACTGCTAGATGACGACACCTCTTACCTGGATGACGCTGTTAACATCCCCAGTGCCCCAGACAAGGAGCCCGGAGCAGAGACGGTGAAAGACGGCATGCCAGTGGACGAGTTCGGTCTACCACAGATGACGTCGTAGAAACTGGCCAGAATGGGAACTCTGCTGGAACTCCCTTTTGCAGTTCTTCTCTGTTATCATTCATGTCCATTCTTACTTGCATCTTAATTTCCGCCATCAGTACATAATGTGGTTCACAAGGGATGAAATTACGTTCATAGATATCACCAACATAACAATAGAAATGAACAATTAAGCTAAATATAGAGAGTGATTATTATTAGAGTTAAAATCTTTTAAAAATTATTATCAGCATTTAGATATATAATTATGGAGTAGTCCCAGTGAACAACTTTTTGCTTACCAGTGAGACGTCTCAGTATGTAAGATCCGCTACTTAATCATTATATCTTCATAAATGTCTTATGTGGTGGGTACTCAGTTTTCTTTTACAAATATGCAGGAAATGCCTTATATTCTCCCTGTGTAACTTTTTGTTTCTTCTGTCCTTTTATGCTTTCTTTTTATCAACTCTTTTCTAATAGAATAGATTCGTTGTGACACTCTCGCCTGTGAACTTAGTTATTAGTTTTCGTAATTTTTCAAACATGATTATCTCCTCCTAGGATATTACAAAGACCTACTATGTAAGTTAGACTTTTTAGATATAGTTTTTGTGTGAATCACAGAACTATAGGTATTTTTTTTTTTTTTTTTTAATATGATTGCTTGTTTATGGCATAGAAATTTATTGTAGCAGATTTCATATATCACAAATATTTGATTGAATATAAAGTCCAATTCTCTAAATCGTATTGTCAATATGTACAGTTATTTTCAGCATACAATAAACAGTTGTGTGTTCCA